AGTCATGGGAAGCTTATCAGAGCAGAGACAACAGAACTGGGCATGGAAGAGTCAGGGTATCAATGTGGGGTCCCGACAGCAGGTCAGGGCATACAATGACTTAGCTTGCTATGTGCCAGGCACCTGCACATCCCACCTTGCTTAATTTGCACAACAACCCCTCATGGAGTTATTACTGTCATCTTATAGATGAGAGGAAATGTGAAATGAATTTCCAAAGAGACTTAAAAAAAATTTTTTTTTAAAGTGTCTATCTGCTTATCATGTTCATTTTGTTTGAAAGTCAGTCACAGAAAGAGAGACAGAGAGATCTTCCAACCACTCATTCACAAACACTTGCAACAGTTGAGGATAGGCCAGGCCAAAGGTCAGAGCCAGGAACTCAATCCAGGGTTTTCACGTGGGTGGCAGGGACTCAGGGACTTGAGCCATTACCTGCTGCCTCCCAGGGTACACACGACCAGGACGTTGGAATTGGGAGTGGAGCTGAGGCATAAAGTAAGACACTCTGTTATGGGATGTGGATATCTTAATTACAGTCCAAAATGGCTGTGCTTCCCTAATAGCTCTTTTTTTAAAAAAAGGTTTATTTGTTTATTGGAAAGTCAGATATACAGAGAGGAGGAGAGACAGAGAGGAAGATCTTCCATCCGATGGTTCACTCCCCAAGTGAGCGCAACGGCCGATGTTATGCCAGGATCCAGGAACTTCTTCCGGATCTCTCACATGGGTGCAGGGTCCCAAAGCTCTGGGCCATCCTTGACTGCTCTCCCAGGCCACAAGCAGGAAGCTGGATGGGAAGTGGAGCTGCCGGGATTAGAACCCTCCCTAATAGCACTTTAAAGTGTGGGACATGGGCCCCTGGGCTAAGTCCCAGGACATTTTCACAGATCTGTAAGGCCAAGGCTGTCATCAAAATAACACTAAGAAGAATGAGATTATTCTATTTACAACCACGTGGTCCCAACTAGAGACCATTATGCTCAGTGAAATTAGTCAATCACAAAAGAACAACTACCATATGTTCTCTCTTATATAAGGAAACCGACATGGAATGTGTAACTTCAATAATCCAATCCATACTGTTTTTTGTTTGTTTGCTTTTTTTGCTGTATCCCATGTGTTTTGATGTTTTTGTTTGTTTCAGTTTGGTTTATTCCAAATAATTTCTTTTCTCTTGTTGAATTAATCACGGGCTCATGGATTATATCATGGCATTATTTTTCCCCAAGAGACTTCTGTGTTTCCTTTTTATCACCCATGTGTTGGTTACTCGGTGGCAAGTTTTTTGATGGTGCTGTAATTTGTTGTTGAGGTGGCTGTTCTAACTCATACCAGTTGTTGACCTTGTTTCATGACTTCCCACTTATAGAAATGTATAGTGATAGAGTACTGGGGTCTATCATATACAGACATGGGGGTATAATGGAACATGCATCCCTGCTTCCAGACGAAAGATGGATTCCCAATGAAACTGTTGGACATGTGCAGACAATGGGATGCTGGACTGTCTGACATTGTCTGTGCCAACAATGTCAGGATACACTTAAATAAGAGACCGATAGAATTATGATTCCTTATGAAGGACTACACTATTGTAACAAAATGGGAATAATTTGATGGGGGTTGGGAGTTCGGGGGGGAATCCCAGCCTATACAAAATTGTACCACGTAATTCAAAATTCAAAATAAAAATATATTTAAAAAATGACACTAGAGTTATGTGTTGTTCTCACATGCTGACATTTGTACTGTTAATACCATCACAATGGGAAGTAGAACTGCTGGCATCTTGAAAGTAACCAAGGGTTGTACAGGTTGCTATATTCTACTGTGTACTTGCAGTTGAAAGCAACCTTCACTTTAAGAGGGGCCTTGATGAAGGAAGGATACAATTTATAATTTTAATCCTTGTAATATTTTTTGTGCTGAAATAAGGTATATAAAACTTCTGTTGCATACGAAAAAAAAAAAAAAAAGAAAAGAAATGGTGGTGACTGCAAGGAAAAGCCCTTGCTTGTGTGGCTGCTTGAGTTGCAAGCTGAACCTGCTGCATTTGGAGGATGGGGCATAGAATACTGTGTCTACTTAAATGACTATCTCTGACCACTCATTGGGCATTGGTAGGTGTTTTCATGAATGTGAATGAGTGAGCTTGTCACCTCGAGTATGGTTGGTATTCATCCTTTGTTGCCAATGGTAAAACCTGAACTTTCAAGCATTTTTCAGTATTTTTTTCAAATGCTTATTTGATTTGTTTGAAAGGCAGAGTGACAGAGAAAGTGGAAGTGAGACAGGAAGGCTCTCTTATTCGTTGGTTCACCATTCAAGTGTTTGCGATAGCCAGGGTTGCTTCAGGCAGGACCTGAAACTCCATGTGGATCTACCAGGTGGGTGACAGGAGTCCAGTCCTTTGGACCATCTTCCACCACTTTCCCAGGCATGTTAGCAGGGAGATGAGTCAGAAGTAGTGCTTCAACGCGGGATGCCTGAGTCACAGGTGGTAGCTTGACTTGGCTACACCATAACCACAGCCCCCAGCTTCCCAGTACCTTAAGACATTTTGATGAAATCAATAAAGTTGAGCTTTTGGTGGTGTCGAATAAATGTGTTAACTCTTGGAATATATTCATAGCTCCTTGAACAGAAATGATTCAAATGTCCAATGTAGGTGTCCCAGAAAGACACACAGGTGACAGATTAGAACTAATTAGAACAATTAATTCTGATGTTACAGGTCAAACATAGGTATGGGCCAGTTTCAGATTTTTACATTGCAGTTTGCCTTTAAGGAATGTGAGGATTACCACCTGTTGAATTTAGATGTGTTGTCTCAGGATCTTCACAGTGGTGTGTGAGTGTATTAAAACATGCCTCTGCTTCCAGCTACCCATCTGGCTGGGTTTTTCTCAGAGATGACAATCCAAATAAGACATCTCAGTGGACTGAACACAGAAGTAGACATCACAGTGCAGCCAGACAATAAAGGAAGTCACAAAGATGTGAAAAAGGGTCACTGTTCTTTCTGTTTTGGAAGTTATAATTATTTTTATGGAAATATATCATTTATGTTAACATATATTGGCCTTATTATTTAATGCCTAAATCTATTAAAACAGCTCTGTTTTCAAGTTTGCAGATGGCAAAAATCCATAGACACAAGCCACCTCCATAAAGACTCCTTGGGTTCTTTTAAGAATGTGGTCCTGTGACTGCTGCCCTAAGAGTACACAGAAAACACCTGACCATGGTCATTGATGTCATTCCAAAAGTTATGGCCTTTGTGTACGTCAGGTGGTTTGTAACCTGAAGAGGGAGGGGCTTGAGGGCTCACTTACTCCTGTAAGGGGCTCGGGAGTGAGGCCAGGTGTCTGGCACAGTGCTCAACTTAGTGCTTGGGACACTCTCACTCCTTATTGGTGTGTCTGGACTTGAGTCCTGCTCCAACTTTCTGCTAATGGTGCCCTGGAAGGCAGCAAACATTGGCTCAGGTACTTGGTCTGCCACAAGTGTAGAGGACCTGGATTCAGTCTCTGGCTTCTGGCTGTTTTAGGCATTTTAAAAGTAGATAAAAGATTCTCTCTTTCACTTTCCCTGCCTTAAAAATACTGTGGAGGGCTTGGTGCAGTAGCCTAGTGGCTAAAGTCCTCGCCTTTAACATGCCAGGATCCCATATGGGAACCAGTTCATGTCCCAGAGGCCCTGCTTCCCATCTAGCTCCCTGCTTATGACCTGGGAAAGCAGTTAAGGATGGCCCAAAGCCTTGGAATTCTGCACCTGGTGGAAGATCTGGAAGATACTCCTGGCTCCTGATCAGCTCAGTTCCAACCTGTGTGGAAACTTGGGGAGTGAATCAGTGTATGGAAGATCTTCCTCTTTGTCTCTCCTCCTCTCTACATATCTGCCTTTCCAATAAAAATAAATAAAACTTAAAAAAAAATTACTCGGGAGACTGGAGCAGCCTGAGCAACTGTTTTCAGGTTGATTGCTATAGAATCTAATATGTTTCCCTCTAACCTCCTCCATCAGACATTCCTCTGCTGGCATTTTCCCTTAATCTCTCAGCTGTTTCCTTTCACCTCGATGTCTCCCCACCATGCCCGCATCATCTGCTGCCCCCTCACCTCAGCCTTCTGTGTCTGATAGAGTGAGGTTGGCTCTGCAGGAGGCTGCACCTTCAGGGTCTCTTCAAGACTAGGGACAGAGAGACAGTTTGGTCTCTTAAAATTTATTTATTTTATTTGAAAGCAGAGTTACAGAGGGAGGAGAGGGAGACAGAGGTCTTCCACCTGCTGATTCACTTGCAAAATGGCCACAATGGTCAGGCTTGCACCAGGTCATAGCCAGAACCAGGAGCTTCCTCCAGGTCTTCTCACATGAGTGGCAAAGACCCAAGCACTTGAGCCATCTTCATCTTCTGCTGCTTTCCCAGGTACATTAATAGGGAGCAGCCAGGACTCAAGCCAGTGCTAATATTAGATGCTGACATCAGAGGTGGAGAGGGATGTTTTCATGGAAGTGAAGTTCACATACATGAAGCTCACCATTCTAACTGGAATTTGCACAATGTAGGTGGTTCAGGTTGCAGTGCTGTGCACCGGTCATCTCCCCAAAAAGAAACCCCTAGCCCAGTCCTCAGTTTCCCACCATCCCCTTCCTTCCCTGCTTTCCTGCAGCCCCCCAGAACAACCCTGTGCCTCTCCCCGTCTCCAGGGATGGGCTGCTCAGGGCATGTCCTATAAGTGGAAGTTTAGGATATATGGAAGAAGATGTTTCCTTTTTATGGTTTTATTTATTGGTTTGAGGGGAGGTTTGTATGATCCATAATTGGACATTGATCACAAACTGATGGGATTCTCAGGCAAGTCCTGTGAGGTTTGTGAGATTGCCTTTGGCCACTGAGCCCAAGTATGGAGCTCAGACAGAAGCCACCTGGGGTGTGTGATGGGGTGGGGAGGTGCTGAGACCACACCGCTTCACTCCCCTTTGTGTCTCTCTAGGAGTGAAGAAGAGAACCAAAGTCATCAAGAACAGCGTGAACCCCGTGTGGAATGAGGTATTTGGTTTTTATCTTGCCCTTTCTCTCTCTGCTGCCACTCTCTTTTCAGGACAAGTCAGGGGGTTTCTGGAACAGGTGGCTTTCTCAGTACCTTTGAAAAGGGGTGGGGCTGGCAGCCTGAGTGCCCACTGAACCCTCCTGCCCTGCTTGGAAGGGGGTTGGGGCTTGGCCTCCCAGGCAGGAGGAGACATCTCATGCGCATGTGTTGGGGGAAAATCTGGAGGGGAATAAAATTGCTTTTGTTGCTATTTTTCCTTTGCTCTGGCTAGCCAGGTGGAGTGTGTTTGGGGATGCTCTTACTCTTTTCCTTCATATCCACCCTGCTCTCTGTCTGAAACCCACCTCTTCTCTGAAGCTCTTTCTGATTACCCTCTGGTTCTTATGGGCTCTGTGTATCCTCAACCATCAAGTTGCACATGTGGCTCCTTGAGGCCTTCTGGAGGGCAGCCTCTCACTGGTGGGTCTGGGTTGCACAAGGAAGCATTGGCTCTGATGAGGGCTGTGAGGCCCCTGGCCCGGCCTGCCCCATGCTCTGCACAGGGCCTTGGCTTCAGCGAGAACCCTGTGGCATTGATCTCTGAGTCCTCCACATAGTCTCCTGGCATTTCCCCAGTTGTACTACTGGCCCACATTCCTGGGGATGGCTTGTAATTGGTTGGAGAGAGGGGGCCGTCAGAATATTGCTTTCTTGTCTCTTCTTCTGCCTTCATCTCTCATTGTCACCTCTAAAGCTCTGGAATTCTGGTTTTTCTTTCATCTTTTCTCCCTTTCTTCTTCCCTTTCTTCTTTCCTCACTGCTATCCATCTATCCAATTATCCATTTGCCAACCCATCCATCTATCTATCATCTATCCAGTTATCCTTCCTTCCATCCATCTAGCCAGTCACCCATCTGCCTTGTCCATTCATTCATCCACCCTCCCATCGTTTCATCCTTCCTTCTTTTCCTTTCAATTATCCAGCCAGGTAGCCAGTCACCCATTTGCCTATCCATCCATCCATCCACCCATCCATCCATCCATCCAACCATTCCTTCCTCCTATCTATCCATCCATTCTGTCTTTCCATCCAGCCATCAGCCTGCCAGTCATCCATTTACCTAGCCATCCATGCATCCATCCATCCATTCATCCACTAGACTCTCTCAGGGACACTAGTGAATGGTTAACACTCACTAATCTCCTTCACATACCAGACTTCTGCTCTGTGCCCGGGAGGCATGAGAGTGAATGAAACACAGTCTGTTCTAGAGAGCTGCAGGTTAAGATGCTTTTTTTCCTGCTTTTCTTCCAGGGCTTTGAGTGGGACCTCAAGGGCATCCCCCTGGACCAGACATCTGAGCTTCATGTGGTGGTCAAAGACCATGAGAAGATGGGGAGGAACAGGTGAGGTGGACCAGAATGGGGCTCCATGGCTTGAAGGTACAGGTAGGGTTGTATTGAATGAAAGTTCCAAAACTCAAGCTCTGGAGAGCTGGTACTTCAAATCAGCATTTACTGAAAGGCTACCTCTCTTGGACCTGGCCCAGAGGCTGCTGGGGAAATCTGGCAGTGGCCCTAGAACCTTGGTTCTGGGTAAAGTTGAGGGCAGCCCGTGCTACAGGTAAGGGAAGATGGTCTGTGTTTGCAGAGTATGCCCAGGGAGTGGCGAGATATCAGGGTGGGAGTAGGGTGGGGAAGGTGCTTTGTCTCTCCCACATCAGCCCAGAGGCTCCTAGAGTGGGCCCACCTCCCTGCTCAGGCAGAGCTGGTGAGGGCAACTGCATACTCCAGGAGGCAGGAGGCAGGGTCAGCAAACAGGGAGCTATCAGCAAGGCTTCCTGGAAGAGGTGGGACTTAAATTTTAGAAAGTCAGAATAGTAAGAAAGGGTCACTTTGATCAGACACCTCCCTGTGGCGGGGTTTCAGCTGGGTTATTTCATGTAGTCAGGGATAGGATTTCCAAGCAGGAGGACTGGGAGGAGCAAAGTTGTGGTGGCAAAAGCAGCTTTCTCTAGCAGGCTCTGGGCTGCTCCCCTTGTACTGCTGGATGGTGGGTGCAGACTGGCAGGCCTGTTGACTGTGGTGTGGGTGGATGAGGACACAGGTCACCTGACTAAACAGAGATGAGCCTTGAATACCAGGGCAGGGATTTTGGGGGTCCCCAAAGCCAAGCTAGGTGCCCGAGGAGGTGAGTTCATGTTCCAAGATAAGGCATGGCTTTGCTGGTGGGTTGTTTGGGAACCAGGTCAGCTGGGAAGCCTGACTGTGCTGCCCTGGGGCCAGGAGTGTGCATAAAGGAAGCCAGGAGAGGCCAAAGCTGATGAAGGTCTTAGCCTGAGCATTGGACAAGTATGACATCAACAACCCTTGGAGAAGAAACACAGCTGCCACGGTCTCTCTGTGGCCCTGCACACATTGGCAGGATGGGACGCCTTTCACACGCCCCTAGGAAGGTGTGGCTGCAAAGTGTGCAGCTTAGACCTGCTGCCAAGGCAGCTCATCCAACTCTGGCTCTCAGCACCTGCACAGGCTCAGAGATCACAATCCATTCAGGCTGAGCTCCTTCCCAACACAGGTGCTTTGTGGGAGAGAAGGCAGCCAGCGCAAGCGGGAATGATGGGCCTGCTGGTCAGGGAGGGAGCAACTGTGGGTACTGGGCACTCCTGGAAAGCTTCCTGGAGGAGGCTGCTAGGTCTGACATGCAAGCAGGTGTAGGCTTTGAAGAGGCAAGAAGGGATGGGTGTTCTGGTGTGTTGGAGTGTACGGCGTTGGGCTCAGGCCTGACAGAGTCACTGAGGCTGAGGACCTGTACAGTTGAGCAGGAACAGAGGGGTGTCAGAGCGGGGGGGGGGTGGTACGCAGATTGAGGAAGCCCTGCTCCCCAGCCCCCTCCTACTCTCAGACAGACTGGGGATAATAACAGCAAGGCATACAGTGGATGCTCCCGGAGAGCCCAGCAGTGTCCAACACTGCCGTTGCACTTGTCAGCCTTATGAAGGGGGAATCCAGGGCTCAGAGACTGAGCTGTTTTCTCAGATAAGTGATGGTGGAATCATGATGGCAAGGCAGGCCCGGAAGCCCAGGGTGGGTGCACAGTCCTGCAGTGGTGGTAAAGTTTAGTTCTCCTGAGGCTGCTGTGGTTGAGAGAACTGAGGGAGGGAGGGTGGGTCAGCGTGGTCACGTGGTCACAGTGGATTGCTAGATAGAGGAAATGCTTGTTCCATCTTCACGATTATATTCAGGTAATTGCCTAGGCCCCAGGGTAAGATTTCTGAGGTTGGGTAGGCATTGTGACAGTAGAGCTGGGAGCTCAGCTGTAATTGGCTCAAGGACTGTGCTGGCCCTCAGGACAGGTCACACGTGTGCTGTGCTGCTCTGTGGGTGTGTTGAATCTTGGGACCATCCCGTTGGCCCCTGTAAGTGTTTGGGAGCAGCCATCTAGTTCCCCATAAGACCAGATCTTTGCAAGGTCAGTTCACTAGATGTTTGTTCCTCCAATATCAATGTGCAGAATAGCTAATCCATTAATATTTTCATCTTATCAGAAATTTCTTTCTTATATTTATCTTATAATGCCTTTTTAAAAATGCAAAATTTTACTCTTTAATTATTTATTTTTAATTGTTTGGATGGCAAAGAGAGAATCTCACCCATTGGTTCACTCCTCAGATGGCTGAGATAGCCAGGCCTGGGCAGATCAGGATGAAGCTGGGAGCCTAGAACTTAGTCCAGGTCGCCCATGTAGGTGACAGGAACCTGAGTTCTTGAGCCGTTACCTGCTGCAGGCAGCTAGGGTCAGACGCAGAGCTGGGCCCCAAGCTCCGCCCAGCACTACGGAGCGTGGATGTGCTGCTCTGCCAAGTGCCTGCTAGTCACTGGGACTTTCTCTTTGTCACATTTCTTGGTTTTGCATTTCCTGAGATTAAAAGTTTGATTAAGCCAAGTTGAAATTTAAACGTATGCAAGTGTCTGAAGAGTATTAGAGGCAATCGGAGCCACACTATCAGGGGAAGAAGTGGCAGAATGTTGGTGTTTTTCCAGTGAGCAGCTTAGAGCAGCAGCCTGGGTGGCAGTTTGCCTGCACATGTGGGGCCTGGGGCTGAACCTGTCCAGCGGGGAGGGGTCTTTGCTAGGCAATTCTGTGATAACCCCACTGTCAGAACCATCAGCACGTCTACTGTGTACAGAAAGGAGAAGCAGCATCTGAGACTAGAAGCATTGCACATTCTAGATTCATAAAATAGGAAGCATTATGAAGAAGTTACAAGAACCACCAGTTGACATTTTAAATTCTCAAAGAAAAGAAAAAGTGTTAAGTGAATGCAATCTGCTGTCAGCCTAATTGGTAAAATAAGTCACACTGGGGAGTGGGGAGGAGGCCCTAAAGGTGTTGATGTGCGTTGGGGAACAGACTAGCTCTGCGATGGGTCTGTGTGTGCTGTAATAGACCATGAACACATTCAAGGAAGTTGAGGCTAAGGTGAAGCTTTTTTTTTTTTTCAAATCTACCTAAATTTTAAAAATTTTGTGATACAGTTCCATAGGCTTTGGGATTTCCCCTCCTCACCTCCCCAGGCTCCCTCTCCCCCTGCTTCCCCCCAGATTTCCTCGATATTATTACAATAGTGTAGTCCTTTAAAAACAGTCATAAGACCATCATTCTATTAAGTGTATCCTGACATTGTAGGAATGAATAATGGTAGAGTCTAGCATCCTATTGTCAAGATATATTTAACAGTTTCACTGGGAGTCCATCTTTGATTTGGAAGTAGAGATGCATGCTGCAATGTATCTTCACATCTTGATATGCTAGCCAATTATACAGTTCCTCTAGATGACTATATGTATATGCATATTTTCCTATATATAGGATGAGATTTTAAAGGCAAAAGCAGCAGGTACTTTGGGTTGAGAATCTTCAGCCATCATGATGAGTGAATGACCAGGGTTATATTACTTCAAAGCTGAACAGATACCTGCCAAGCAAATATCTTTGTGATAGACTTTGTTTGTGTGTGTAAGGTTGTGGTAGCCTCTGTGTAATATTATAGTCCTGGGAGGGTCTTTTGTGATAGCTACTATCAGGCAATTGTGTATAATTGTTTGGCCTAGTAGTTAAACACCTTACTGGGCCACCATGCTCCATATTGAGTGCCTGGGTTTGAGTGTCTGCTCTACTCCCACATCCATTGTCTTTTCTTTAAAGGCTTATTTATTTATATTGGAAAGTCAGATATACAGAGAGAAGGAGAGAGGGGAGAGACAGGAGGAGGAGGAGGAGAGAGAGAGAGAGAGAGAGAGAGAGAGAGAGAGAGAGAGAGAGCGCTTCCATCCGATGGTTCACTCTTGAATCGGCTGCATGGCCAGAGCTGAGCCAATTGAAGCTAGGAGACTGGAGCTTCCTCGGGGTCTCCCATGTGGGTGCAGGAGCCCAAGACTTCGGGCCGTCCTCAACTGCTTTCCTAGGCCACAAGCAGGGAGCTGGATGGGAAGCAGTGCTGCTGGGATTAGAACCGACAACCATATGGGATCCCGGTGCATTCAAGGCGAGGACTTTAGCCACTAGGCCACAGCACTGGGCCCCCCAGTTCTATTTTCTTCTGATGCAGGTGATGGCTCAAGTAGTTTGGTTCAACATGGCTCAAATTACTGGGTGCCTGTCATTTAAATGAGACTTGGATTGAGTTCCTGGCTCCTGGCTTTGGCCCAGCCCAGCGCTGGCTTGATCCAATCCAGCTGTTGCAAGGATTTGAAGGGGAACTACAGATGGGTGCTCTGTCTCTCCCCTTGTCCCTCTTTTTCTCAAAACAATAACGCATTGGGCCCGGCGTGATAGCATAGCAGTTAAGGTCCTCGCCTTGAACGTGCCAGGATCCCATAGGGTCGCCAGTTCTAATCCCGGCCGCCCTGCTTCCCATTCAACTCTCTGCCTGTGGCCTGGGAAAGCAGTCGAGGATGGCCCTTGGGACCCTGCTCCCACCTGGGAGACCTGGAAGAAGCTCCTGGCTCCTGGCTTCGGATTGGCTCAGCTCCGGCCATTGCAGCTGCTTGGCGAGTGAACCATCGGATGGAAGATCTTCCTCTCTGTCTCTCCTCCTCTCTGTGTATCTGCCTTTCCAATAAAAATAAATGAATCTTAAGGGAATACAATAACGCTTACAAAAAAAATTATTTTTGGTGTGTGATTTATTTTTATTGGAAAGCCAGATATACAGAGAGGAGGGGAGAGAGAGATCTAAGCTGTCTGCTACTCTTCGCCCCCTCCCCTTTCCTGGTTGCTGTTGCATCTGGAGCTGTCCTCATTGGCTCCTTGCTCCTCTGTGACCTCTTACACTATGGCTTCCTCCCCTTCCTGCCACCTTCGCCTTTTTTCGTTCCCTTCCCTACTTCCTCCTCAACACTAC